CTGTCAAATATAATACATATCACCCGATTCGAGGTCATAGTGTACAGGTGTATGCATCGGTGTTCAGTCCGTTGTTTTATTTACATTCGTACACGTATTTCCCTATGCTCATCGTAATGTCAACATAGATGATGATGACGATATTGCACTGACATTGTGGTCTTGTAAAACAAACAATCAATATTGTTTACACGTCAATTCAATCGCCTACCTTCTGCCAACTGAAATTGATTTATGCTTGTCTTGGCTGTCATAACCGCACCAAGATACATTTGGCGATTTAGTGGTCATCATTCATATCGGTGAGAATGTGTAACTATGTAATTGAGGCAACAACCTATTGTAATAGATGTGGAAAGGATGTAAGATTAACATATTTGATATTCAATTACAAGAAAAAATTAACATGATTTGGAAAGGTATCAAATCCTTATGTACTTATTCGTTTGACCAGAATATTAGTATACCTTTATCTTTGAATTTACCACAATTGCTAGAGTTTATCAGGCCTATCATATACTTTATAATTATTTTATTGATTTATTCATTAAAATAAAGTTTTCAAATTAAGTGCCTATGTATCTTCACATTATCTTTATTGCATAGCAAATAATCGATCCGTCAAATACTGCCCTCTCGATACTGTATCAACCATAATTATGTGGACACAAAACAAATTATTGAAGTGTCAGCAGCAACAAAAACAACAAACTTTAATTGCTAATCACAATATAAGCAGAATGATACATTCACTCCGATGAACACCCCCACAGCATACTTTGAACTTGACATCATCGAAATTTACCAATATCATATTTCGTCGGAACGGAAAAGTGCGAAAGAAAAAACAAAAACAAATATCATTGGAGAAGTGTAACGAAACATAATAAATGTATTATAATGCTACTGACTTTTTGCCAGTATCATCTCAAAAAAAGGAAGATAGGAATTGGCTATTAGTCATAATTAGAATATCATGTTTTTGTTTTTTATATAAATAAGTGGAGTCAATACACCTATAATTATCAAATGAAGTAGCCATTTATTTGTCGCATACAACAGTTCAATCTCACATACACTTATCCGAAATTCTTTTTCGAATATTGAAGAAAACAAAATAATATCGTAGTTAAGTTCGGCCGGTCCGACCTTTTTTCAACCCATGATGTGTACATTTAAAATACCCAATGAGATACTAAAAGTGTCAATTCGTTTAAAAAAGTTATTATAGTCTCCAAAATATAGAAATATGGGGATATCCAAAAAATAACGAAATAGCAATTCGCTGCAAAAATACCGTAAATTGAATAAAAATAAAGAAGCCAGAGATCCATTCGCCGAGATCCATTTCGTCTGTCCAAAAATTGAGGACTCTGCTGTTTTTAGACTAAGTCCAATTTGATGAATCTAAGTCGAATTTAAAGAATTTAGATGGCACAAGGGGTATTCGTAGACTAAATTGACAACCGGTAAATTCTATTGCAAAGCAAACCCCGTAAGGGAAGTTCAAAAGTCAGACGGGGTCAACTATATGATACCCCTCACCACTTTGGGTACATTCAAGAGATGCTGAACTAGCATAGGCCCGCTGCGTCGTTAACGGATATTTTTATAATTAAAATAAAAAAAAACATTAATTAGCTACACAATACACTTTTAGATTAAGTATAAACTTAAAACATTTCGAATAATGATAGGTCTTATCTTAATTTTTTTAAGAAAATTATAGATCTTAATACGCGTTTCTTTCGAACAGATACGTTGATGCTTCTAACCTACTAAATCGAGTACAACTTACTTATATTTATATTTTCTGAAAGAGTACTATTTTCTCGATCCTCCCTATGGACCAATACAAATAGCAACATTGGTTTTGTAAACATTTTTATTCCTTTCGGTAATTTAATACTAATGGTAAAATATATAGTACGTTTTAGTACTTGTGTACTAAATATAAAAAGTTAGAATTTTTAATATAATATTTCGCACAGCGCATCATTTATTATACAGAGATCAGCTTTTATAGGGTAGATTTCCATTAAAATTGCAGAAAATTTGTATTTCTTTAGTTTTTCCTTAGAAAAAAATGTCGGTAATTTTAGTATATCATCGACATAAAGATCCAGCCTTTTCATTACAACGGAAGTCGCAGCAGTATAATAAATATCCAGTGTGGTTGGAATATTACTGGAAATAAATATCAGAAGAAATTTTAGAAACATTTGCGTTTAAAAGTGCCAAAAATTTAGTACTCGTGGTGTTCAGCGGCTTGTTTGCGTAGTTTCACTTATTTGAATATGAAGTCTCCTCCGTTATTCACTACATCGGAAGTTTAAACCAAAATTCACATAATCATTCGCTGTAGATCCATGAGGGATTGGAAACTATATTTCATGTAGCAAGAAATCATTTTTAGCAAGACATTTCGAAAAATATTTCCATAAAACATTTTATTTGTCAAAGTCAAAGATAAATACTAAATAGGAAAGGCCAGCTTTCCTACGAATTTTCAATAAACCAAGCCTCTTATTTCTACTATGAGTTGAAAATTTTTGTACTCTAAATCTACATTTATATTTTTTACCATTCACTGTGGTACAATATTTAGTACAATTTTCTAAAAATATTTATTCATATAGCTATATTTGTAATAGTTGAGCTACCTACTAATATTCAGATTTCAATTTCTAACTTTACCATTATAATTTAATATTTTGTACCATTTTAGTACTAATTTCAAAAGAAAAGCATTCTAGTTCTAATAGAGTAAGCTACATACCAAATTTCAGATTTCTTTTTCTACCAGTTCCATTGTATTTTATTAATTACTACTTTTTATTACCACTTTAGTATTAATTTTCAAAAAATGTTAAGTATAGTATTATATTTCTAAAGCTATAAAGCTATATACTAATTTTCAGAAAATATGTTTGCCAATCATTCTATTTGTAATAGCTTAACCTACATACCAAATTTCAGATAGCTATCCCTTCATGATCCATCGCAGTATAATATTTAGTACTTTTCAGTACCTTTAGTACTAATTTCAGTACCTTTAGTACTAATTTCCAAAATTTTTTAACACATTCTGATTTGCTTACCATGGACAATGCTGTATACCATATTTAGAGCTCTACTTCAACCGTTCTGGTGTAATACAGTTTTAGTACTTTTTAGTACATATTTCGAAAAAATATTTGTGTAAATCATCCCATTTGTATTAGTTTAAGCTACATAGCAAGATTCTGATATATAAATCTAACTATTCCTTTCAAATATAATATTTAGTACTTTTTAGTACCTTCTAGTACTAAATTCCAAAATTTGTTCACACATACCACTTCGCTTATCGTAGTCGAAGCAATGTGCCAAATTTCAGAGTTCTACATCTAACCGTTCTCGCGTAATACAATTTTTAGTACCTTTTAGTACGAATTTCCAAAAACCCCACCTTATCACACGCCTTCCCACCAAATCCCACCTACATGCCAATTTTTAAGTTTCTAGCTTTAGCCGTTTCGTATGGGCATTGACGATTCGTATGGGCATTGATGATTATAACGCAACTCTTTTATATATATAGATAGACATAGCATCTTTAGAGGACCAATGAAATGGAATCGTAAATTATTATGTAAATTAAATTAAAACAACCCATACACATACCAATCTAAAATTTATGAAAAATTGAATGTCAATCATCGAACAAAATATGTATAAGATCTATATATACATAAATGGTGGTATGTATTTGAGTTACCATGGCATCCACCATTTGGTATGCTGCAACACAGTGCACCATCCAAAATTTATTTCGACACAAAATTCAATACACGTTATCCTAGGCTCGATTTTGTACTCTGTGCACTAATTCGTTCTAAGCGGACAAACTTTAGTTACTTGGTACATAATTTTGATGAAATCGGATGAAAATATATGAGGGAGCTATATATATTGACAGTATGGTGCACCATTTACGCAGAATCGGAGGAAACTATATGTGGGAGCTATAACTAAATCTGAATCGATTCCAGCAAAACTTGGCATACAATCTGGACCTAATTCAGTACTCTGTGTAAAATGGTGTAAACCATGGGTCTATCTCGATTCCTTTTGCCTGTTACAAACATATGCACAAAGACATAATACTCTGTACCACAGTGTGGTTAAGGGTATAAAAACTACTGCAAAGTTATGTGAGGCTATGCCTAAAGGTGTTATCATTATATGAGGGGCTATGCCTAATTAATGACCAAAATAACTCAATTTCGAACACAATATTTTAGTTTTGTATCTCAATTATTTCTTCAGGAGGTATCATTATATGGGGAGATTCTTAAATGCTGGCCGATATATTTCATCATCGTCAGGTTCGATTTTTTTTATCACGATATCATTGGAAATAGACAACCCTTGATAACAATGACAACTTGTATGCTACAATATTTCAATGTTGGTTATAAACATTAAGGTCCGACCGTTTTTACTGTGGTTTCATTTAATTTTATACATTTTTCATATTACAACACCACCTTATATTATAAAATGATCTTCTCTCAAATTGTACATTTCTAATGCAACTATGTCGATAAATCTACCAAAAAATTGTTGCCAACATAAATGACAATTTGCGATGCGATGCATGGCTCTTTACATATGCCGTCCCAGTGACAGTCATAAAATTTACATTTCAGTGAATTTTTAGCAACCATTCGAAAAGGTAGAAAAATTATATTTAGTCTATACGGAGGCAAAGTGAAACGGAAAGTGCATAAACAAAAAACGCAAAAATACAACCAACACCGAATTTTACCCTAAAATAAATGCAACCGCACATTTGTGTCTGTGTGTGTGGCACTGGCATTACAAATTCGCATATAAAAATAAAATATGTGGAAAAACTAAATAAATAATTCATGGTGAAATTGATGTAAAAATTGCAAACTAAAAAAGAAAAAAATTCGAAAAAATATTCTCTAGGCAATTTGATTTGAACGAAAATGAAATTGAAAATTTATCATCTATCCAGCAATGGTTTGCTGTCGTTGTCGATGTTGTTGCTGTTGTTGGCAGATGGATTTCAACAGATAGCTGCTCAACGAACAAATATCGGTAGGATTCCAAACATCGTTATTATTATTCGTTGTTAGTTGAATTGGAAAAAGAGGAAACAGTTCATGCAAGTGTAACAGCAGCAGCAACAACAACAACTACGAAAGTGCAGAACATAAATCTATTTCACATTGACATACATACATAAATTTACTTCCAAATCATTTGTTACGTAAAATCGGAATATGTGTGTAGAGATGCTGTGTGCGAAAAATGCTTGTGTGTTAGGTTTGTTGTTGCTGTTGTCGTTTTTTTTTTTTTTTTTTTTGTTTGGTGGCCCACTAACATCCTAACATTGGCCGCTGTAAACAAAAATATTTGCAACCTACATTCTGTTGTGTATAGCCCAATGTACACCAAACATGTTTATCAATTTGTTTTCATTTCGTATTTATATGCGAATTTTTGTAAACAAAATTTTGTGCAGATAAAATGTAAACATAAGAAGCGTAAACATAAAAAAGCGTTCATAGCTACTGGGAACCACATATTTCAAATTAAAATTATCGAGAAGGATGTGATTTTATATCGTCGCTTCGATCCACTTGCGAAGACAACAGGACATCATTTATATTAGGTCATCATTTATATTAAACCAAAATTTAACCAACCCTCCAATATAATAGTACGTTTACATTTAACCGGATTTCGTTAACCCAGTGGGTTTCAATTGTCAATTCCTTTGCATATACGTCAAATAAATCCTCAAAAAGTAGGTTAACCCGGTAAAAAGTTCTAATGTACAAGGAGTTTAAGGCGTATTGTATATTAAATTTGTCTTTCCGTATGCAACACCTTAAATTATTTTCCGGAGATCCCATAAATCTGGGATGTACGAAATTTGTATACCCTTCACCACACTGTGGTACAGGGTATTATGTCTTTGTGCATATGTTTGTAACAGGCAAAAGGAAACGAGATAGACACCTGGTTCCTTTTGAGAATATGCATAGAATCACTTTCTGAGTTGATTTATGCATGTCCTCTGTCTGTCTGTAGATGTTAAATTGTAAACAAAGTAGGGGAGACTGGGGCACCTTCGGCAATCGCGTTTTCGATATGAAGCTCTCACAGTACATCTCTAGTTTCGATACATAGGTATCGAATATCGAAATAAATAACTGTCACAAAGTTTGAAATTTCGAGCTAATAAACTTATTTAGGTGCACGGGTTTTTGTATCAGATGTTTTTGTAATATTTCCATTCCATTTCGTAAGTTTTCGTGTATAAAACTTTTAAAATTTTACGACAATATTATTAAAAAGTGTTTAATTACGATGTGTATTATTATAGAAATATTTAAAAATATAATGTTTTTACAAGACTGATGGAAAAAATAAAAAAAAACTTTAAAAAGTATATTTGGGGTAGATTCGGCATTTTAATGTGGGGCACATTCGGCCATATACAGCTAGTGTAATATTATTTCCTTAAAATGTTTTTGAGTTTGTCTTTAAAAATAATCCTTTAATGTGCTTCAAAATTACATATATAAGACTAAACGTGCTTGTATTAATATGCGATAGAAAAACCAATTTCTTATGGTGTGTGCGACCTTGAGATTTCAACGTCAGCCGTTAGAAAATATAGCCCTAAAATTCAAACATTGTGTCGCGTATTAAAACCAAATAGAGCCTTTAGAGGATCTGAATTTCAACCAGACTGATAGCGATGCTAATTACCAGGCTATGACTATAGTGCCGAATGTACCCCATCAAAGCTACCCCGGGTTGGGGCACATTCGGCGAATTTGACTATTTTTACAAAACTGTAAAAATTTTTAACTAATACTAATTTTTTCTATCTTTTTGGTACTAGTTTTTATAATTAAGTGTCAGAGGACAAATTTCTGCCATAAAGTTTTTATATATGTTGAATAAGTACTGAGATATAGAACTCTAAAAAAGTGCCGAAGGTGCCCCAGTCTCCTCTAATTCCTAAGTGCAACAGGACATTAGCACGGACTGTATATTTAAATCGTTATTTTGCCCTGCATCATATTCAATTTGTCATTTCGTTTGCAACACCTGCAATTATTAATCGGAGAACTTATAAAATATATTAATTCTTAGCTAGAATAAAAAGGTCTAATGAAATCACGATAGAAAGCGTCAACTTTATGATATACGTGACGTCTATATATAGGATTTCAAGAATTCAAAAGAAAATATAAATAAAACAAATAAAATCGATCGTCATATCTCGTCCATCTATTCGTCTGTCCATTATAATTTTTAAACACGATACAGCCACAGTTATGGACCAATCTTCACGAAATTTTGCAGTTAGGATGGGTTCTGACCAATGAAGACCGCTATTGTTTTTGATAGAGAACGGTTGATACATAGTGGATGAAATGGACCAAATTTGGACTTAATTGTTGTCGGGTTTTCGGGTCGCAATTATGTCCAAAATATCGCGAATGTTTTGATAAAGATCGACCAATATTTAGCGGGTCAAATGGACCCCGGCTTTTGTGTGAAAAATGACAAAATTTGTATTCTATAGCGTATATATTTACATAGGCTCGAGAAGTTCATAGAATATCCAGGAGCAGTGGTTGGCCTTTAAGGGGACCCCCCCCCCCATTCTCGGGGTCAAAAATTTTGTTGATATAATTCGAATCTACACTAATTTAAGAATGTCCCTACAACATTTGAAATGAAAATCTCAACAACTCTTGAAGATATAGCCGATTTATTGTGTCAGCATCAAGTGACGGCTGAAGTGCTTCTCAAACTTTAAACGCGTTTTTCTCTAAACATTTTTTTGCGAATGGCGGGCACGATAACTCAAAAACTAATAACCCAATCGATTTCAAATTTTTACACGTTTCTCTGTGAGTGTATAGCTATCGTATGAACTAGGATAAAGTCAATCGGTGAAGATCTTCCTTATTTTTTAACTTGGGTTTTAGTAAAAAATCGGCGATTTTCCAAAAATATTTTTTCAAAGGTCCACCATTTTGTTAATTTTAGAGCGATGTCAATAATCCTAGTTCATACGAGAGCCAGACATGTACTCTTTCTAACACCGTTGGAATTTTCGGATTCCGATGTTCCAGTGAGGAGTTATCATGCCCGCCATCAAAAATAAGGACTTTTCTTTAATTACAAAAAACAACAACAAAACAATAACAAAAATTTTTTGTAAATTATTTTTCTTCTCTTTTAAATCTTCAATTATATATGTGCAAAGTTACAAACCTTAACAAGCATTGGTTTTGATTTACCAGCCCATTGAAAATCTTGGAAAAATAAAATCGAGAATGGGGGGGTTCCCTTAAATCGATACCAATTATATTGTCGTATATACACGGATGCGGGAGTTACACTTAAATATTTAATGGTGCTTACGTATTCAGATATTATTTAGTACCCCTTAACCACACTGGTGGGCGGAAATATAGCGCTGATCGCTTTCCATGAGGTTCCAGTTATGGTCAAGGACAAAGCCTATAATTTTCGGTGATGATCAGATAATAATTTTGAGATGAAGTGGAACGAAAACTTAATTTTTTGGTGCCTTTTGTCGAGTCGATCTATAGGCGCTCTGCTGGTTCAGCTTTCGCGTTAGCTGGACTTTATATAGATGTAGACGTAGATTAGATTACATTTATTGAGCCTTTAAAACAAACAGTATAATTTTACAGAGTTGTCATAATATTTAGAAATACTTAAGATTGTAATGTATGATCAAAATTTACAATAATTATGTGTAAAGCACCATGCTTAAGAGTAAAATAGACACAAAAATAAATTCAGAGTTTTAATGTAAAACAAAAATTCCTTGCTCCCGGGAATGCACTTATCTGGAGTGTTAATAAACTCAAGTAAACTTATAATCTAAAAACAAAACAAAAACCAAAGAAAATCAAAAAATAATTTAAAAGATGTAGACGTGCGAAACACGTTAAAATGTGTCTAATTCGTTCCGTTCAGAGGAATTAGGAACGATGATGCACGGCCTTATAATATTTGTAACCGTTCCAGTCTCTTCTTTTTTTTTTAAATTTTGCTAATTGCCTGCTTAGTTGGACGATTATGTAGATTATAATATCCTCTTAAAGCAAGATAAGTGGCTGTGGCAGGTTCGCCATTATAGTTAAGCGGTTCGTTGTCGTCAACTAAAAAGAAAACCTAGTAATGAAAGTTCAAAAGTCGGACGGGGCCGACTACATGATTCCCTTCACCACTCAGGGTGCATACAACAGATGCTTATATGTACAAAATCCAGTAGATCATTGATATAGAATCGGACGAAATTACCACGGATGTTAACCTGTAAAAACTTCAATACACTATGCAAAATTTTGTATCCATCGGACTAATATTGGGAGTTTGGTGCACCATTTACATAAAATCGAACACAACTATATATGGGAGCTATATTTAAATATGAACCCATAAACCAATAAAGTTCGTCCTTGGATCATATAAGTGACCTGTGCCAAATTTCATCTAAATCGGATCAGAAATGCGACCTGCACTTCTCACAAAAACACATGGACGGACGGATATTCATATATCGACTCAGAAAGTGATTCTATGCTAAATTTGATTTCATGCGGACAAGTTTGCGTACTATGGGACAAATTTATGCAAATTTTTTTACATAAACTTAATCTCAATCAGATACCAGTTTGTAATATATATGGAAGCTGTATCTGCATCTGTACCAATTTAAAAATGGCTATAACGTCATTCTAGTCTCAATTTGATACGTTTCGTGTCAACCGGTGCATCATTTACCTAAACTCCAACGAACAAACAAATGGGAGGTATATCTAAATCTGGACCGATTTCAACAAAATTATATGTCAATCGTACAAATTTTGGGTCTTTAGTTCACACTTTACATAAAATCGAAGGAAAATATATATGGGAGCTATATCTAAATCTGAACCGATTTTCACGAAACTAATCACACGTCCTTCTAGACTCAATTTAGTACGCTACGCCAAATTTCGTGCAAATTGAAAGATATATAGGGACTTTGTTGTACCATTTCTATTAAATCGGACGAAAATATATATGGGAGCTAGAATTAAATCTGAACAGATTTTCACGAAACTTAACACACATCATTCTTCACTTAGTTAACTACGCTGTGCCAAATTTCGTGCAAATCGAATGATATATAGGTACTTTGGTGCACCATTTACATAAAATCGGACGAAACTATAAATGGGAGCTATATCTAAATCTGAAGCGATTTTCCCGAATTGAGTACGCTATGCCAGATTTCGTACAAATCGAAAGATATATAGAGACTTTGGTGCACCATTTACATAAAATCGGACGAAACTATATATGGGAGCTATATCTAAATCTGAACCGATTTTTACGAAACTTAGCACACATCACTCTAGACTTAATTCTGTACGCTGTGCCAAATTTCGTACAAATCGAATGATATATAGGAACTTTGGTGCACCATTTACATAAAATCGGACGAAACTATATATGGGAGCTATATCTAAATCTGAAGCGATTTTCCCGAATTGAGAACGCTGTGCCAAATTTCGTGCAAATCGAAATATATATAGGGACTTTGGTACACCATTTACACAAAATCGGACGAAAATATACATGGGAGCTATATCTAACTCTAAACCGTTTTTTCTTCATTTCCATAGGGTTCGTCCTTGGGCCCAACAAATTTCGTCCAAATCGGATTATAAATGCGACCTGTACTTTGTTTACAAGTTAACACCAACAGACGGACGCACGGACGGATTTGCATAAATCGCCTCAGAAAGTGATTCTATGCATATTCTCTAGAGGAACCATATGTCTATCTCGCTTCCTTTTGCATGTTACAAACATATGTACAATGACATAATACCCTGTACCTCAGTGTGATGAAGGGTATAATAACTTATTGTAAGAAACAAATCATTTCGAAGAAGTATCCCAGGCTAATTCGTACATTCCTTGCCCTCTTGAACTTTACTTTTCCTGTCGCGTTTTCTAACAAATTTAGCATTCCGATTTTGGATTCTCTTGGATATATTAAATTAAATGTATCAGTTCGTTGGCAACACATCGAAATATTTCCCAGAGATAAAGCCGTTTTATTCATGTCCTTCTTTTAAATCATATTACTCCCAATTTATTACTCCCATGTTGTTTGGTATTGAAAATAATATATATCAGTTTGTGTTTTGGTATAGCTCCCATATAACGGTACTCCCAAATATTTGCTATTTTGGGGATTTTTTGCAAGTTTTTTTGACGGAATTGGCTGTAAATGGATACTTTGAGTTTTCATAGGGGTAGCAAATTTCCCTACCAATAGTGGTCGATATCGGTCTACTTTTTGGTATAGCCCTCACATGGTGCACGCAAAATTCCATATTTTAGCCATTTTTTCTTTTAACCAAATTGGCTGAAATTTCGTACTTTGAATTCCCATCGTGTAGCCAATCTTCCTACAAAAAATTATTGATATCGGTCCAATTTCTTATGATAGCTCCCATATTAAGGTACTCCCCATTATTCGGTATTTTGGGGTGTTTGAGCAAGTTTTATAAAAGAATTTCCTCTAATTTAGTTCTCATTGGGTGTCAAATCTTTATATCAAAAGTTATCTTGGTATAGCCCACCATTATCGAAGGTCACGAGTGATTAATTGTATTTTTAATGTCTACTTCATGGACCTTCAAAAGGTCTTTAAAAGATTTTATAAAATTTTCGCAGAAATTTGCATATAAGAACCACGCTTCAGTTAAAGTATTTTGATGGACAATAGGCGGATTTTCCAATAGATTGGTCGGCTCATATATAGAAATAAATTTCATATTTAATTCAGTCCGATTTCATGTTTGCGGTCTTACTATATACTATGCCTGTCTTTTTAACAGTATATTTTACACATACAACCAAAATCATTGGAGTGAAATATTTGTTAAGCTTGTCTTAAATCGGTATGTGTATTTCTGTAGCTAACAATGACGATCTTAGGAACATCTCTTTTATATTCCTAAAATGGTGTAGGGCATTATATATTACGTCCCGTCCTGCAATTATACTTTCCTTACTGTCTCAGTGCGACCTCCATGTTATTATAATTTATTTAAGTTTGCTGAAGCTATAATCAAACATATACTAACCCACACATTTAAATGTAAATATTCTCCTATTGGCTCATTGAATATTTCTGTTGCTTTATCTATTTTCTTTAGGTCTTATTTATGAAACCGATAATCCCGATATGGCGAAAATCTTTCAACTGGCCATTAGCAAAGCCAATGATGAAAACGAAGATATCCGCCTACATGCTGTGACCATTGAAATAGATGCGGGCGATGCTTTTGGGACATCGAAAAAACTTTGCAAAATCTTACGGGTGAGTAAACATTTCAATGTTCACAAAGTTCGGCTAACATTTCCGTGTAGTCATGGTCATGGCAATGTGACCATCAAAGGAAGCCAAAAACTGGCCAACAAATTCAAAAGTTTATTAGTAAACTTATTTTTTTCCTTCTTCTATTTTATCTTCGTTTAGCAAAATCTAGTGGCGGTTTTTGGTCCAACAACAGATATGGCTGCCAAGCATGCCATGAGTATTTGTGATGCCAAAGAGTTGCCATTTGTGGATTCACGTTGGGATTTCGGTGCTCAATTGTCGACAATTAATTTACATCCACATCCATCACAGCTGGCCAAGGCCTTGAAAGATGTGGTTACAACCTTTGGCTGGGAAACATTTACCATTATCTATGAATCAGGTTCGAAAGAAAACATAAAACGCAAAATGAAGGTCAATTTGTTTACCAAACTAAACCTTTAATGGATTTAATTTTTTTTGTTTAAAGGAGAATATCTCATGTTTGTTAAGGAGCTACTTGAACTATATGGCACCAGTGGCCCCACAATTGTTGTACGCCGCTATGAACTTGACCTCAATGGTAATTATCGTAATGTTTTGCGGCGCATAAAAAACTCTGGTGAAAGTTCATTTGTGGTGGTGGGATCTCTGAATACCTTGCCTGAATTATTAAAACAGGTGAATGGAAAAAGTTTTAACATTTTATTCGTTGTTGTTTGAAGTTTTTTTTTATAATTTATTTCCATATATTGTTTTTTTTTTAATTGTTGCTTTTGATTTTAATTGCCGCCAGGCCCAACAAGTTGGCATTATGACTGGAGCGTATCGTTACATAATTGGTAATCTGGATTTTCAAACAATCGATTTGGAACCATATCAGCATGGTGATACAAATATTACAGCATTTCGGGTGATCTCACCCGAATCGGAAAATGTTGCAGAGGTAGCCAAAATGTTATATGAATCTGAAGAGCCGTTTCAAAATGGTATGTAATAGAATGTAATATGATACATAAGAAATAAACCAGTAAGGAAAGTAGCAAAGTCGGACTGGGCCGACTATATGATACCTTCACCACTTTGGGTATATTGTACATATGTATCCTTGCAATTCTATGTCAATGTTCCCTCGAAGGAACATACTCACGCCTTTCTGCAACCAATGATAAATTTAATTTCATTCGGGCAGATTTAGAGTCGTCTGCATGCCATGGGACAAATTGGAAAGCGATTTATATCATATTTCGGGCTAATCGGATAAACATTAGGAGTTAGGTGCACCATTTATGTAACATCGGACGAATATATATGGGCGCAATATCTAAATCTGAACGGATCTTCACAAAACTTAGCACACATCATTCTAGACTCAATTCAGTACGTCCAAATCGAAAAATATATTCGGGCTTTCATGCTCCATTTACATTAAATCAGACGAAATATATATCTATCTAAATCAGAACCGATTTTCACGAATCTTAGCACACATCATTTCGATTTTCACGAAACATAACACACATCATTTGGCAGACATCATTCTAGGCTCAATTCAGTACGATGTGCCAAATTTCGTGCAAATCGAAGGATATATAGGGACTTTGGTACACCATTTACATTAAATCGAACGAAAATATATATGGGAGCTATTTCTAAATCTGAACCGATTTTCAGGAAACTTTGCACATATCATTCTAGGCTCAATTCAGTACGCTGTGCAAAATTTCGTGCAAATCGAAAGATATATAGGGACATTGGCGCACCATTTACATGAAATCGGACGAAACTTTATATGGGAGCTATAACTAAATCTGCACCGATTTTCACGAAACTTGGCAGACTAAACTCTAGGCTCAATTAAGTACGTTATACCAAATTTAGTGCAAATCGAGATATATATAGGGACTTTGGTGTACCATTTACATTAAGTCGGACGAAAATATATATGGGAGCTATATCTAAATCTGAACCGATTTTTCCCATTTCAATAGGGTTGGGCCAAATAAGTGACCTATGCCAAATTTCATCAAAACATCTTCCAGCGGCGAAAATTGTTAACCTGTAATTTTTTATTCACTTGACAGGATCATCAATTCCAAGATTTGTTCAGCCAAAACTGCGCTGGTTTCAGCCGCTCATTATGTAAAAAAATTGGCTTTTCTTTTTCGTTTTCATACGAATATGTTCGAAGACTTCAGACAAACAAATTGTGATTTTCCACCAAGAATTTACCATGTACGTTGCTCAAGAGGAACAATCATCACGCGGTCAGTTTTGCTGAAGGAACTGGTTACAATTTGCTTCATGTTTCTTTGGACCAAATCCGTTACAGATAATTTGGAGCCGATTTACAAATGTCCGTCCGTCCGTCTGTCTGGCTGACTGGTGCGCACGATAACTCTTGAAGGGAATAATCGATTTCATCCAAACTTTGCACATCTTAATATTTCTTCCAAACTTAGTTCAAGTTCGAAGATAAGGAATATCGGTACAGTCCTTCTGGTACCTCCCACACAAAATGGTCAATATGATGAAAAAATTAAATTTGTAATATCATCCGAACGGAATATCCTATTTGAACCAAACTTTGTACAACCTTCTATCTTAACCAGGCATAGATCAAGCAGGAAGATGGGAACCATTGATTCACTCTATCTGGTACCTCCCCTTTGTAAGGACAACATTTTCCATATTTATAAATCCAATATCAAGGGAATGTCCGATTTTAACCAAATTTGAACTACTTATTATTTTTAATAAGACTAAATCATGTTTAATGATGGGACCCATTGGTCCACTCCATCTGTTACATCCTCCACAAATGATCAACATGTTCTATATTTATAAATCCAATATCAGGCAAGCCTCTTATCTTTACGAAGCCTAGATCAAGTCCGAAGTTGGGACCCTCCGAAGTTGGAACCCGTCTGTCCTCTCCTCTGTTGCATCCCCAAAAAGAGTCAATATCATATAATCATGTAAATTTTATTTGTATAACCGAATTGATCAACATTACATCTGAAACATCTTTGATAAAAACATATACCTCATATAAAACATATAAAACCTGTGTGTAAATCCGAATACCTTCTCCGCAAACCATAGGATGAGGGTATATACCTGTCTACAATGCCGACTGACACTTTTTTACTTGTTTTTAACAATTCAATGTTTCTGAAATAACGCGATGTGCAAGTGCCTTTGATTATTTTCCCCTTACAACCATTGTTGCCATTTTACTCCGATGGATGTATGGATTACCTCTAAAAATTCTCCCCAGTATTCGATACTATTGGGGATAGGTTATCATCTCCTCGCTCTCCCTCACTCTTGTTGCTAGGTAATTGTCCGTCACGGCTTTTTGGGTGTCCTCCTCTCCAGTTCTCACGAAGAAGAAGGACTCTCGTGACAGTCTCCATTGACTTAAAATGTGGCTTCTCTTACTATTAGCCTTCTCTTGCTCTTTTTTGCCGTTCGTCCGCTCTTCCTAACCCTCTTCGCCACTTCCAAAAAATGTATATAAAATGAGACTAATCAGTTCGATCTTGTTCCTTCGGTTCATTCTGGTCAGTTTTCGCATTTGTGCCACGGATAACTGCTTCTTTCTTGTTGTGAACTTGACAAAGTCCTTGCTCACTTCATCAACCATTTTATCAGCCCCCTCGCTCCTTCGGCATTCTAGGACGGCATTCCTGTTTCCGAATGTTGGGCTGCTCTTTAACCTTAAGCCTATGGTTTGCGGAGGTCGTCGGAATTACACGCATGTTTTATTATTCGCTTTATGAAAAAGATTTAATATTTAATGTTGATCCAATTCAATTTACAAGTTCGAACCTTATAGGCTTGGACATTCATTTCGTCAAATATTGTTTTATATAAATTCGAAATTTTGATCTTTTGTGATCCTAAGGGAGTAGCATAAGGGAGTGAGATACCTAAGGGAGTATTCGGACTTGGTCTAGACTTGGTTAAAATAATACGTTGTACAATGTTTGACTGAAATTATACATTTCATTCCCCTGATATTGGATTTTTAAATATTAAAATTATTGACCATTTGTGGGGGAGGTTCTACAAGATGGAGACCAATGGACTTGATCGATGCTTGGTGAAGACAAATAGTTTGGTTTAAATCGGATAAAATTATTATAAAATTAATCTTTTCCACAATTTTTACAATCTTGTTTGGGAGGTACCAGAAGGATTACTTCCATCCCCATCTTCGCATTTGAACTAAATTTGGAATAAATATTACAATGTGCAAAGTTTGAATGAAATCGGTTACTCCCTTCGAGAGTTATAGTGCGCACCAGCCGGCCAGATAGACTGACGGACATTCATAATCGACTCCAAATATCCTAAAACGGATTTGGCAAAAAAAAAAAACATGGAGTTTAAAACCAATAATTCGACGAGGCACATTTTTGTCCTATAAGTCGTAAGACTGTGGGTACAAAAGAGGGGACTACCCTCAAAAGGGAGCGAATATGAATAATTTTTGTTAGAGATATGTTTTCCGAATACGAATATAAAAAGTGAACCTATATTTATAATTATACCCTTCACCACATTGTGGTACAGGGTATTATGTTTTTGTGCATATGTTTGTAACAGGCAAATGGAAACGAGATAGACACATGGTTCCTTTTGAGAATATGCATAGAATCACTTTTTAAGTCGATTTATGTATGCCCGTCCGTCTGTCCGTTCGTCCATGTATTTTCGTGAACAAAGGTCGCATTCATGATTCGATTTGGATGACATTTGGCATAGGTCACTTATTTGGCCCAGGGACGAACCCTATTGAAATTGGGAAAATCGGTTCAGATTTAGATATAGCTCCCATATATTATCGTCCGATTAAATGTAAATGGTGCACCAAAGACCCTATTTACCTTTCGATTTGCAGGAAATTTGGAACGCGTAATGAATTAGGTCTAGAATGATGTGTGTTAAGTTTCGTGAAAATCGGTTCGGATTTAGATTAGCTCCCATATAGATTTTCGTCCGATTTAAGGTAAATGGTGTACCAAAGTCCCTTAATATCTTTCGGTTTGCACGAAATTTGGCTCAGCGTAATGAATTAGGTCTAGAATGATGTGTGTTAAGTTTCCTGAAATCGGACCAAATGAAAGATTTAGTATCGGTTGCAGAATGACATGTTTATGGATCCAATTTCATTTTACTGGTCCTTTAAAAATGCGACGTCTGTTAGGATTCATCTGTTGAATATACCCAAAGTGGTGAAGGGTATCATATAGTCGGCCCCGTCCGACTTTACTACTTTCCTTACTGGTTTTTATTGGAGAAATTTATTACCCAATAAGGAGGCAATTTTATTGAAAAATTTGTGCAAAATCCTCACGATCCACATATTTTGGAGGTAACGTTATGGGAGCAACCCAAAAAAAGTGGACCATTATTATTAATTTTTAGTGTTGAGATTTGGTATCCAATGAGAACACAAAGTGCGAAATTACAACGAATTCCTTTGAAAATCGCATTTAAAACCCACAAGAATACCGAAACTTTTGGAGGTACCTTTATATGAGGGATATCTGGGCAATAGATTGGAAGAAATCGGTTCGTATTTATATATAGCTGTCATATACATTCAGTCTTCGAATTTATTTTTTTGTTTTAAACCGTATACCAACTTCATTTAAGGTGACAAACTTCGATATTTTATTTCTTCTATTATTAAAAAAAAATCGTTAACATATTTTACTCCACATTATTTTCCAGTAAATGTAATGACTATACCCAAAAATTTCAACATATACAATAAAAAATTTAATAGCGAATAAAGTGTGTCCTTGCCCTTGCAAGCCCAGACATCAAAGCATTTTCCTTTTCCTATTAAAGTCATAGTCGTTAACTTTCATCGGGTCACAAACACTCACACATAGACCAAAGTCATTAATGTTAATGCTGATTTTCGAAACACAATTTATAAGTCAATATTGTCGAACATTTTCACTCAATTTTCTTTATTTTCTTCCTTTTCTTACTCAATTTTATTACTTCCACACTTGCAACACGCACCAAAAACTGACACGCACACGAGGATAGTGTCATGTCCTTTGACTGTTAACATGGCTTTGGTTTACGACGGTGTCCAGTTGCTGGCCGAGACATTCAAGCATGTTCAGTTTCGTCCCGAGGCTTTAAATTGTAACGATGACAGTTCATGGGATAAAGGATATACGTTAGTCAATTATATGAAATCGGTAAGAGCAGACAAAGGAAGAGAAAGACAGCATAACATATGAGGGATGCTAGCATGTCCTTCATTTTTGTCGATAAAACATTTTTCATGCCATTTTCTTCTTCTTTTTTGGTTTATCTTCCATTTTTAAAGTTAACCATTGAAGGTCTCAGTGGAGAAATAAAATTCGATTACGAAGGTCTGAGAAGTGACTTCACATTGGAGCTGATAGAACTAAGTGTATCGGGTGTACAGAAGATTGGCTCATGGCGGCCTGACGAAGGTGTAACCATTGATCGCCCACCACCCACTGTTAGCGGTGAACCGGATATGCGTTCCTTGGTTAATAAAAGTTTTGTTGTTATTACGGCCATTGTAAGTAGTGGTAAAGTAGAAATTACAATTTTATTTTGGAATTATTGTGTGTGTAGAGTGAACCTTATGGCATGCTGAAGGATGTACCCCACAAACTGGAAGGCAATGATCAATTTGAAGGTTTTGGTATTGAACTCATTGAAGAATTGGGCAAGAAATTGGGATTCTCTTACACTTTTCGCCTGCAAGAGGACAACAAATATGGCAGTTTGGATGCCAAGACTGGCAAATGGAATGGCATGATTTTAGAAATAATGGAGGGGGTAAGTAAATGGGAATATTATTTAAAGTTATTTTTGATGATATTACTAACTGCGTGTAAGTGGACTATCTTTGAAGTCCACTTCAACTTTGAAGTTGAAGAAACCCCCATAAAGTACCTATATTCATGATCGGAATAAATTCCATGACTTTTTATTTAGCCCATATCCATGCATTTTTCTGTTGTTTGAAATGACTTTGCACATAAACTACTACTCCTAGGATGTTAGATGTTGAACCTAAAATAAATCGATCCACGTGTTGGTATTTTAGGCTCTCATTTGGCATCAACGTTCCTACTAAATATTATCAGCATCGGTCAAAATTGTGTAATTTTTAAATCGAAACACGTATTTATCAATATCTGTACTCAATTCCACCAATATTTGAACGGCATATATTGCGTATTTTTGGTTAATGAATGATATCAAAGTAGAAAAACTAAATTTATTTAATTTGCCACCTGCCGACATTTACTTACATACTTACTTAGCTGGCTTGTGTCAGAACTTTCGTTCCATAAACCGAGCTTAGAGAAGTTTTCCAGGCTCGTCGGTCTTTTGCGCAGTTTTTTTTTCAATTTGAAAGACCATTTTCGGCGATGTTGTCTTCGACTTGATCTTTCCAACGTATTCTTGGCCTTCCCCTTCTGCGGGAACCATCAGCTGGTTCGCTTTTATATGCCTTCTCACAACATGACCTAGCCAACGTAGTCGCTGCAGCTCAATACGATCGGATCGATATAACAGCACGGGTAGTATCAGCGTCTTGTAGAGTGTGAGATTGGTCTGGCGGGAGGTGGCCTTGCCTTTGAGTTGCTTACTCAGACCATAGTAGCATTTGTTGGCCATCATATACATCATCATCATTATCCTTGTCCGAATTTCAAAACTGATGTCATTCGTTTTGTTTATGGCGGTACCAACGTATATAAAATCTTTGACTACCTCGAATGGCTCCAAGAGATCCTTTCCGACTTTAACTGTTGATCTTGTCCCAGTTAAAGTTATCCTGCATAGCCGAATTAATTTTGCAGGAATGCCAAATGGAGACATGGCTTTAAACACCTCTGAACGAATAAGGCAGGTGGAATGTGTCGATGTGTTTTTCATGGGTTTTTTCCAAGATTTGGCGCAGAGTAAAAATCTGGTCAATGGTGGATTTGCCAGGTCTGAAGCCGCAATGGTATGGTCCAATAATGTCATTGACCATTGGCTTCAGTCGTTCACACAGTACACAGTATGCGATGGGAAGGAGACTTACTCCTCTATAGTTGGCACATATCGTCTTATCTCCTTTTTGCTATTCTGACTTCATCTTGGCTAGGTGGTATACACTCTATACCATCATCTATTATTGGTTCTGGGGTATCAACTTCACTGCTACTATTTGGTACCAGAAGTTTTTCAAGATGCTCCTTCCAGATCCTCAACACGCTGTCTGTATCTGTCACCAGATTTCCTTCTTTTTCTCTACAGGAGGATGTGCCTGAACCAAAGCCTTCGGTTTGGCGTTTTACCCGTTGGTTGAATTTTCGGACTTCTTTCTGACTCCTGTACATCTCGATTTGCTCACGCTCACGTTTTTCTTGCTCTTTCTTCTTTTTTCTGAAAATACGTTTCTCCTCTCTCCTTTTCTCCCGATAATTCTCCATCGCATTACGTGTTGCTACTGTCTGCAGGGTTGCCCTATACCTATTCATATTACGACACTCCTGATCGTCCCACGGATTTCTTGATGGTGGTCTTTGGTACCCAAGTGTTGCTTTAGCTGCAGTTTGTAGGGTGTGGACAAGTTTCTGCCACTGTGCTTCTATATTATTATCGGGACCAGGGGTGCTTTTGTCAAGCAGTTGGGTGTTTGCAGCTTTTCGACGTCGAGTTTTCGTGTTGTATTAGATCGCACCTTTGCTGCTACATTAAGACGGGTGCGTACCTTGGCTGCGACAAAGTAATGGTCCGAATCCATATTCGCTCCCCGGATCGATCGGACGTCTAAAACACTGGATGAATGCCTTCCGCCTATCACAACATGATCGATTTGATTTCTCGTTGTTCGATCGGGAGAAATCAAGGAGACCTAGTGTATACCGAAATGCTTGAATCTGGTGCTGCTAACTACAATGTTTTTTGCTGCCGCGAAGTCAATCAACCTCATGCCGTTGTCTGATGTTTCTTCATGGAGGCTGAATTTTCAGACGGTGGGGCCAAAGATATTTTCCCTTCCGATTTTTGCATTAAAATCTCCTAGCAGAATTTTAATGTCATGGCCAGGGCAACGATCATATGCTGTTTCTAGGCGCTCGTGAAATTTGTCTTTGGTCTGTTCATCTTTATCTTCGGTCGGAGGATGGGCGCAAATGAGACTGATGTAGAAGAACTTCGCAACTAACCCGACGCCTCAACGCGGGGAGGTCAGTGTCCAGAATTGATTTGAAAGAGTGACCAAGATAAGCCTGGACTTCGCCATGTTAAAGCCAATCAGAGCCGTTGCCTGGTATATATCATCCCCTACGCCACCCAACCGTTTAAAATGACATATTTCCATAGAATGTACCGATCGATGTACTCCACATAGGTAATAGATCCAGGTATAACATTTATTTGTCGGGGTCGAACGCTTTAAGTTATAGCAGACCGCTTACGGGGTATTATCGTTGTACCGATTTATATGTGTGTGCCGCTGACATTTCCATTTCTCTGATGTAGAGCCACTTCATATTTAGAAGTAAACAGATCAGGATATATGGTAGATGTGACCTTATTAACAAGTAAAGACACTCATGTTGAGCTAGGATCTTGAAAATACCGAAAATTGCGCGCTATCGTTTGACAACGATGTCAGAAAACCTTGAAATAATGAATAGTAGTGTTACGGTTATATAGATGATGACCGGTAAAGATAACCTTAGGTAAGAAGATTTTAGGTCCCATAAGAACACGATTTTAAAAGTGCCAGTCGGTGTTGCCGACAGATATATACCATCAGCTTATGGTTTGAGGAGGTCTTCGGAATTACAAACAGGTTTTATATTTAAGGTATACATTTTCATCAAAGAGGTTTTGGATTTAATGTTGATCAAATCGGTTATTAAATTCGCTCCATATTAAATTTACATGTTTATAACATAGAAATATATACATAGAAAATTTTGACTCTTTGTGGGGGAAGTACCAGAAGGAGTGGAACAATTATTACCATATTCGGATTTGCTATAGGCTTGGTAAAAATAGTAGGTTGTAAAAAGGTTGCATTTATAAATATTGAAATTTTTGACCATTCGTGAGCAGGTACCAGAAGGAGTGGACCAATGGGTCCCATTTTCGGAATTAATCTAGGCTTCGTAAAGATATTGGTTGTGCAAAGCTTGGTTCAAATCGGATATTGGATTTATAAATATTGAAAATGTTGACCCTTTGAGGGGGAGGTACTAGAGGCAGTGGACCAATGGTTCCATTTTCGGACTTGATGTAGACTAGGTAAAGATAGTAGATTGTACAAAGTTTAGTTAAAATCGGATAGTCCGTTCACATGATATTATAAAATTAATTTTTAGCACAATTTTGACCATTTTGTGGTCCATCTTCATACATGTACTTAGTTTGGTAGAAATATTACGATGTGCAAAGTTTGGATGAAATTGGTTACTCCGTTCGAGAGTTATCGTGCGCACCAACCAGTCGGCTAGTCAGACGGACGGACATTAGTAAATCGGTTCCAAATTTTCTGAAACGAATTTGGTCCAAAGAAACATGGGGTCTAAAACAAATATTTCGATGAGCATATTTTGGCCGTATCAAAGTGTATATACCGTCGTTAGCCATAATTCTAAGGGTATAAATATAAAGTTACATTAGATAACTTGTCCATACATTTCAAAATTCCGAAATTTTTAGGTATCGTTATATTGAGGGTGATTTTTGATAAGGAGATTTGATACTCAAAAAGAACCAAAAATACGAAATTACAGCCAAGTCAGAGGAAAAAATACCAAATCTTGGGATGTTCCAATATCGGTACCCAATACCAAAATATGGACCGATATATCCCGTTTGCAATGCTTAACATCCTAAAGTACTAACAATGTCTGTGCACAATTTTAGGCTCTATCAAAATTGACATAGAATCGGGTTCCGATTAAGAATATATAAGGGGAAGGGGACACCTATAACATTTTTTTTGCTTTCAAGTCTCATAAAAATTTGAAATATGTTGTTACAGTTTTAATGGACGAAGTCATTATGTTCTATACTGCCCCTCCAGGTGGGCTGATTTCATGTAAATAAGTTTTCAAATCCCGATTGGCTCGAAATTGAGTTTGCTTTAAACCGGTCCAAAGTGGAATATAACCTGCAATATAATTATGTCAATGTTCATAGAAACTGCGAATTTAATTCCAATGTATGCTCAGTTGACTTGAGCAAAAAAGCTAAGTGTGGTTAATAGTGTGTTCCGACACTTTATAATCTTATTGTACCATAAATAACCAGCTAAAATGGGCAAAAGTCTCTATGTCAACAATATTTCGAAATATCTCAAATAGACTGAAATAATTAATATATTGTGATGGGTGTACAATCAGACGATAGCTCCTAAGCACTTTATCCAAATAACCAAACGTATTATACCACGTCTAACACTCAAATAATTTATTAATGAACTTACTATTATATCTCATTTACAGCGTGCCGATTTGGGTATTACCGATTTAACCATGACTTCTGATCGTGAAAGTGCTGTTGATTTTACAATTCCATTTATGAATTTGGGTAAGTGTGCAAAAGCCTTTTCCCCACTTGACATTTGATATTCTTTGTTCCGGTTTTTCGGTCTCAAGCACACAAATGCATCCAATTAGAGTGATAATAACCGTGACATTGCAGCAAAGCAAAACAACATCAACAATAATAACAACAACAAAAGAGTGAAAAGCAAGCTGTGAAAAAATAATGGCAAAAGTTGTAGCAAGTGTGAAAATGTGTAATGTCAGCATTTGAAAAAGAAAATGGAAATGGAAACTCATTAATGACTTTTGGTGAAATTCTAGTTGTCCTTGCATTTGCAGTTGTCAACATTGTTGTTGTGATGTGCTGTTGTTGTTGGTGGTGGTTGTGCTGTTCAAGCACAAGAAGAACATCATTACGGAGGGAGAATATACTTAGCATGTGCAAATAATATTTCCTAAAAGCAGTTTAGGTCGTTCATACCATAACACAGAAATGGCAAGTGATGTCGACAATTGATAGGTATGTCATGTATGTACATATGTAGTTATAAAATGAAAAGATTATTCTCCTTTAGGATTTGGTTTCTGAAATTGTTGACTAGATTTTATTCGATACATAAAATTGTACTAGTTTTTGTGAACAAGGACACACACAATATATCATGATAAAATATTGGGTACGATTTCATAAATACGTTTTTAGTGATGGACATCTCTAGTGGCATTATTACATGTCTATTTATATACATAAATCATTGCATGTATTCTTTCATTACTGAAACAATCTCTGTGACAACAGTTCTAATTAACACTGAATGGATGACATACACCGTGAGAAATAGTCGGCGTCTAATTTTTAAGATATACTGACTGGGGTTTCTAACAATTATGTGCGTTTCTGAGGAATTGCTTCGCACAAACGGTGAAAAACTTCAAGGTAGAATCCGTGACAAAAAATCAAGAAACATTGCGGACAGTGATCAAAACCCTCACATTTGGCAGAACTTGTTGTGATTTCTTGCTTATTGTGAAAAGTCTGAAATGACGTTAATCAATGCTGAAGGACCTTATCGTTAATCGACAAAACGAAAATATGCATTTTCACCAGACATACAAAAAAGGACAGTACGGACAGCTCACCTTCCAAAACAATGAGATAGTATTATCAAATAAAGCTAAATTTCAGGGAGTCATCCTAGACAGGAAGCTTAAAAGGAAAGGCCAGATAAAGCAACGGGTCAACAGTACGCACTGGCTCTGCTCTTTCTGCAGAAGAGCTGTAAGCCCTAAATGGAGTTTCAATACAAAGATGATAATTCCTTTTGTAAAGCTTCTGGTGTCAAATAGTGACAATGGGGAATATATCCCAGAACAAATAAGTGATTACCGTGTAGACTGTACCACCTAGCCAAGATGATATCAGAATAACAATCAATCGACTAAAGAATGATAAAACAGCATGTGCCGATTGGTTACAAGCCGAAATATTCAACACCGGTGGTCAGATCCTGACCAGGAGCATGCACCAACTGATTACCACAATTCGGCTAGAGGAATGCATACCCAATGATTAAAACTTCAGCATTATGTGTCCCATGCACAAAAAGGAGACAAGAATCTACAGAGGAATTAGTCTCTTTCCCAGCGTGCTGTATGAACGACTGAAGCCAATGGTCAATGACGTTATTGGATGGACCATACCAACGCGGTTTCATATCTGGCAAATTCACCATAGATGTGTGTGTTTAATGCCACGTCTGCATTTGGCATTCCTGCAAAATTAATTAATTAATAGTCGGAAAGGACTTCTCGGAGCCCTTTAATAATACAGTTTGTCGTGTGATCTTTTTAACATCGTGGTGGAAAAGGTCATACGAGAGGCAAAGGTTAACATAAACACTCTGAAATTCAGAGGAGAGTAATGTTTGCCAACAGATTCTATTATGGTCTAAGTAAACAATCCAGAAACAAGGCCATCTCTCGCCAGACCAAACCCACACTCTACAAGACGCTGATACTATCCGTGCTGTTGTATGGATCTGAAGCATGGGTACTTGTGCAAGCCGATGATACAGCTCTTGGAATTTTTCATGATTTTCATGAAACTTAACACACATCATTCTAGGCTTAGTTCAGTAGGCGGTGCCAAATTTTGTCCAAATCGAAAGAATCGATCTATGCATGTCTGTCCGTCTGTATGTCCATATTAAATTGTAAACAAAGTGCAGGTCGCATTTACGATCCGAATTGAAAGAAATTTAGTACAGCTCATTTATTTTTCCCAAGGACGAAACTTATTGAAATTGGGAAAAATAGGTTCAGATTTAGATATAGCTCCCATATATATTTTCGGCCGATTTTAAGTAAGTCGTACACAAAAGTCCCTATGTATGTTTCGAATTGCACGAAGTTTAGCATTACGCAGGACGAACCATATATATTTTCGGCCGATTTTAAATAAGTCGTACACAAAAGTCCCTATGTATGTTTCGTACGAAGTTTAGCATTACGCGCTGAAACGAGTCTAGAATGATGTCTGCTGATCCATATAGGCCCCATATATATATTCGTCCGATTTTAGGTAAGTGGTACACAAAACTCTTAATATTTGTCCGGTTGACACGCGATTTTGCACAACGTATCAAATTTATGGGTCGCGATTTAGAAATTTTAAAGCTGCACCTCATGGAGGGGTTTAAAAGTTCGACTGGGCCTAACATAACGACTTGTTAGCTTGTTTCTATAAAGTTTTCTATTTCAAGCTTAACATTAGTTCCACATCACGTAAATAAAAAACAAGTAAAAAAGCGTTAAGTTCGGCCGGGATACGAACTTTGGATACCCTCCACCATAGAAATACTGACAATTTTTTGAAATGGAAACATAGGGAACATACATATAACGATAATTCTTCTAATCGATTGTTGTAAGCCAAATTGAAAATTCAGCAATTTCAATGGGGGTTTTCCTAAAATCTCAAAAACCTAAAATGTTGCCATATATTATTAACGCATGGTACGTTGAAACACGTGTATAAAATCCAGGATATACTCCAATTTAGAGGGAAATATTATATATGAAGCATACTAAAGCGGGACCAATATTGACAACATTGTGTAGAACCTAGCAACTTCTTGGTGTTTTCATTATATAATGGGTTAGGCCTAATTAAGGTCCGATGTAACTCAAGTTCCAAGATATTATTTTAGTTTTCAATCCCAATACCGTCCATTACGCTAAATATTAAATAGGTAGGATGTTTTATATAGGACCTGGTCCTAAATGCGGGTCGATACAGTTCATTCTCAAACATCACGTTTTAGTTTTTATGTCGATATCCTCCGAGAGAAAAATGATTACAACATATGGCTAAATCGACTAAATCGTTTTAAAATGCCATACTATGTGGGGTATGAACTGAAAATTTAGTCTACCGAATAACCCCCCTACTATGGTGGAATACAGCTATATGGGATAACCCCAACACCCGGAGAAAATCAGCTAACTATTTTAAAATAAAAAAGGGGGTTATAAGGGGACTACCCCTAAAAGGGGGTGAATATTAATAATTTTTGGTTGGGAGATTTGTTACCATATACTACTACAAAATACCAAATTATAGCGAATTCGGTTGAAAACCGTGCTCAAGAACCGCAAAATACCGAAAATTGGAGGGTACCCTTATATGGGGGCTACCCGAAAAATGGACCTATATTTATAATTTTTAGTGGAGAGATTTGATTCGCAATAAGAACTCAAAGTATCAAATTTCAGTGAGTTCGGTTGAAAAACGGCCTCAAGAACCCCAAAATAACGAAAATTGGGGGTACCCTTATATGAGGGCTACCCGAAAAAATGGACCTATATTTATAATTTTTTGTGGAGAGATTTGACACCCAATAAGAACTCGAAGTACTAAATTACAGCCAATTCGGTGAAAAAATCCGGTCAAAACCTCCCCAAAAACTGAAAATAGGAGGTACAGTTATATGGGGGCTACCAGAAAAAGTGGACCTATATCTATAATTTTTGGTGGAGAATGTTGGTATCCAAGAAGAACCCATTATACCAAATTTCAGCGAATTCGATTGAAAAACGCGCTCAGAACTCCAAAATAATGAAAATTTGGGGGTACCCTAATAAGGGAGCTATGCCTAAACGTGGGCCATCTTCGAACTTGACCTGCCTGCAGACAAAAGACGACTCTATGCAAAATTTTGGCGCTCTATCTCAATTCGTTTAGACGCTAGAGTGATTACAACAGACAGACGGACAGACGGACATGCTTAGATCGTCATAGAAGTTTACGCTGATTAAGAATATATTTACTTTATAGGGTCGGAAATGATTATTCCGAAAAACAAAACTGAAAAACGAAACTAATATACCCTCCATACTATGGTGGAGGGTATAAAAAACATATTTTCTTCTATTTCGGCTGAAGTATTTACATAAACATACGTATATATTATCTCTGAGCAACTATTTACCTAGATTTCACACTTTGTCTTTTTTGTGTATTGTCCCAAAATGCAAATAAAACAAAACAGGAAAAAACGAATCTGTCAGTGTACATATCATTAATAACTGTAAAATGTTCAAGCACCCAACTAGGAATAGTATGGTGGCAATTTATTCCAAGCCTCCCTAAATATTCAAATGAATGAAGCTCATGTTGAAATCCATGCACACACACACACACACATATATATACACTATATTTCCTCTAATGATGATGGTGGTGGTGGCAATAACACCCAGAGCAAACCAACCATAGTATCATTGCTAAATGAGAAAGCATAACAACAGCCTGCATTATGCAAGGACAATACAGTCACAACAGCTACAACAAACCAACAACAACAACAGCAGCAGCAATGAATTGTATTTAAGTGTGGCAGCATTGACATTAGAAGACTATGCCTCAAGTCCTGCCATAAATGTCCTTGAATGCATTCTGGTTTAGAAAAGTAACCAATTTATTTTTACTTCAAAATATGTGTCTTCTATTTCGTGCTTTTGTATTTGTTGCTTTCATTTTTATGCTTTATCTTCTCTTTATTCGTCTTTCATTTCTCCTCCGCAGGCATTGCAATCTTATTTCGCAAACCAATGAAGGAGCCCCCAAAACTATTCTCATTCATGTCACCGTTTTCGGGTGATGTCTGGCTTTGGCTGGGCATTGCATACGTGATGGTGGCACTGAGCATGTTTGTGCTGGGTCGCATCTCACCACCTGAATGGGATAATCCGTATCCTTGTGTTGAGGAGCCTACCGAACTGGAGAACCAATTTACTTTTATTAATTGCTTTTGGTATGCCATGGGGACCCTGCTGCAGCAAGGCTCAGAATTAGCAGCGAAGTAAGTTGAATGGCATGAGAATACATGCATATATTGGGGTGGAGGAGGGTCATATTAAAAAAAAATAAATTAATTAATTTTTTCTACTAAAAAAAAAAAAATTAAAAAACAGAGGTCGAGATACTGTAATAGGCTGAAGGGATATATTAATTATAATTTTTTGTTGCAGAGGCTTTTCGACAAGAGCAGTTGCCTCTTTTTGGTCCTTCTTCACCCTTATATTGGTCTCATCATACACAGCCAATTTGGCCGCTTTCTTAACCATCGAATCCCTAAGTACACCCATTGAAAATGTTGAAGATTTGGCGGCAAACAAAGGTGGTGTCAATTACGGCGCCAAACATGGTGGAAGTACATCGACATTTTTTAAGGTTTGTGGCGACAATCTATCTCAAGTTGCATCTCGTGTGCAACACAGTTTTAATTGAAATCCATTTAATTTTGTCTTTATCACCACCAAGGACGCCAAATATCCTACATACCAGAAAATGAATGAATTTATGACAAGCCATCCGGAATATATGACATCAACAAATGCCGAAGGTGTTGAACGTGTCGAGAAAGAGAACTATGCCTTTCTAATGGAATCGACGACCATTGAATATATTACGGAGCGACGTTGCAGTTTAACGCAGGTCGGTTCGTTGTTGGATGAAAAAGGATATGGCATTGCAATGCGTAAAAGTAAGTTTAACAATTTATAGATGGTGGTTACTATGTGCAGTTTGGTTGTGGTGGAAATTTAATCCTTTGAGTACCAATACATTTTTCATGCTCACCAAATTTTTGTTTGAGAAATTTGTAATACTATGTTCTGCATAGAAAGAGTATAGATTTTTTCCCATAAAAACCCCGTTTAAATATCTTTATTTATTGTGCACCTTAATTTGATACACATTTTAAACCAGCCTCAATATATTGGTAGTATCCAATATCGATGTCTTCGAATAGTTCTGAATGTTTTATATTTTGAATTCTCACTAACTAAATCTTACTGTAAAAATAATCGAAGTAGTACATATATAGTGCCATTTTATACCCTATCCAGGGTATTATGTCTTTGTGCATATGTATGTGACAGCAAAGGAAACGACATAGACCCATGGTAACTTCTGAGAATATGCATATAATCACTTTCCAAGTCGATTTATGTATGTCAGTCTATCCCCATCCGTCTGTCTGTCCATGTTACATTTTAAACATAGTACAGGTCGCATTTATTATCCCAATGAGATGATATTTGGCACAGCTCACTTATTTGACCCAAGGACAAGGCTTATTTAAATTGTTCAAAATCGGTTCAGATTTAGATATAGTTCTCATATATATTTTTGCTAAAAATTTACCATAAAACTGTTTTAAACCATTTACACAAAGCTAGATTCGAAAAGAAGCTCGATGTTTGGGTGCCACACCAACTAACAGAAAAAATTAGAACGGATCGAATTCCTATTTGCGAAGCCTTGGCCAAACGGAACGGGATATACCCATTTCTTAAACGGATGGTGACTGGAGATGAGAAATGGATCACATACGATAACCCTGTGCGAAAACGATCGTGGTCAAAGAGCGGTGAGCACCTCAAACGGTGGCCAAACCAGGACTAACGGCCAGGAAGGTTCTGCTATGCATTTTGTGGGACTGGAGGGGGATTATGTATTATGAGTTGCTCCCATATGGCCAAACGCTAAATTCTGATCTTTACTGTCAACAACTGGACTATTGACCAGAATTGGCCAACAGGAGAGGTGTTGTATTCCATCAGGACAACGCACATTTACAGTGACTCGCCAGAAACTTCGAGAGCTTGGTTGCGAAGGTTTAATGCATCCGCTATACAGTCCGTACTTGGCACCAAGCGATTATCATATTTTCTTGCATTGCAAAATCTCTTTAATGATAACAAATTGGTACCTAGAGAGGATTGTGAAAATCGACTACTAGAGTTTTTTTTTTTTTTTTTTTGCACATTGAGAGCAAGTCTTCTATGAGAGAGGCATTATGAAGTTACCTTTAAAAAGGAAACAAATCATATAACGAAACGGTGTATATTTGGCCCAAATCGGACATTCCGAAGGATGTTAAATAAAGTCGTATAGTTCATATAAAAATAATGGATTTCTTTTCCCCCAACCTAATAATAACCGACCTTTTCCAAAAACAATAGGGGTCTTCATTGGCCAGAACACATCCATTCGTGAAGATTGGCCCATAACTATGGTCTGTATCGTGTTTACAAATTATAATGGACAGACGGACGGACACACATGTCTAGATCGACTCAGCTAGTCTAATAAAAACCAGTACGGAAAGTAGTAAAGTCGGGCTGGGCCGGCTATATGATACCCTTCACCACTTTGGGTATATTCTACATATTGGTATTCTCATTTTTTTTAATTCCATTAGAAACAATTGTTTTGATTTGATCTTTATCAATAAATGAACCGACTAACATCAATCCATATACATGCTTTTCTGAACTTATGCTAAATTTCAATGGGACAAATTTGGGTAAATCGATGTATACACACACTGAATATGTTGAGCAAAATTTCGTGTCAATCGGAGGAGTTTGGTGCACCATTTACCTACAATCGGACGAAAATATATATGTGGCAGATACATCTAAATCTGCATTTTCAGGAAATTTAACACACACCATTCTAGACTTAAGACTTAGACTTACGCAATACAAATTTCGTGCAAATCGAAGGAAATGTAAAGTCGTTGGTACACCTTTTACACAAAATCGGACGAGAATATGTATGTGAGCTATATCCAAATCTGAACCGATTTCCACGAAACTTGGCAGACGAAAATGTATATGGGAGCTATATCTAAATCTGAACCGATTTTCACGAAACTTCGCACTCATCATTCTAGGCTTAATTCAGTACGCTGTGCAAATCGCAAGATATATAGGGACTTTAGTGTACCATTTACCTTAAATGGGACGAAAATATATCTAAATTTGAACCTATTTTTTCGAAACTTAGCACACATTATTCTAGGCTTATTTCAGTAAGCTATACAAAATTTCGTGCTAATCGAAAAATATTTAGGGACTTTGTTGCACCATTTCTATTGAATCGGACGAAAATATATATGGGAGCTATATCTAAATCTGAACCGATTTTTTACGAAACTTAGCAGACATTATTCTATACTCAATTCAGTACGATATGCCAAATTTCCAGCAAATCGAAAGATATAAAGGGACTTTAGTGCAACATTTACCTTAAATCGGACGAATGTATATATGAGAGCTATATCTAAATCTAGACCGATTTTCACGAAACTTAGCACACATCTTTCTAGGCTCAATTCAGTGCAAATCGAAAGATACTTGGGGACTTTAGTGCACCATATACATTAAATCCGACGAAAATATATATGGGAGCTATATCTAAATCTGAACCGATTTTCACGAAACTTCGCACACATCATTCTAGGCTTAATTCAGTACGCTGTGCAAATCGCAAGATATATAGGGACTTTAGTGCACCATATACTTTAAATCGGACGAAAATATATCTAAATCTGAAGCGATTTTTACGAAACTTAGCACACATTATTCTAGGCTTATATCAGTAAGAAATACCAAATTTCGTGGAAATCGAAAGATATTTAGGGACTTTGTTGCACCATTCTCAAAAGGAACCATGTATCTATCTCGTTTCCTTCTGCCTGTTACAAACATATGCCCAAAGACATAATACCCTGTACCACAGTGTGGTGAAGGGTATAAATATCCAGCTACCTTTAATGATCCTATGCCTACATTCCAACCGAAGAGAATATATTTTATCATTACAAAGATAATGTCATTTTACATTCCGGGACCTTGTTGGATAGACGACTACTTCACGGATCAATTTCAATATAGTTCTATGTTTCCACATTGCACCTATATGAAGGCCAGTTGTCATTTTCGTTAAGTAGCCCCCCTCCTCTTTTTAATTTCCGATCATTTTTAACGATTTTGAAATTCAATTTTTATGTGAAGGCAATCAAAATTTGGTCCCGGAAAAAAAATAATTCAAATTTTTATTTATTTTACTATAGAGCAAACCTCCCTCCCAAAAATTATTAATATTCGCCTTCTTCTAAGTTTCGTTAAAATCGGTTCAGATTATGATATATCTCCCATATATCGACGCCTCCGAAGAATAATATGCTAAGTCTGAAAAGTGAGTTTTTCAGTAGAAGCTCTCAAAATATGGAAGTTTCTTATATCTTACGTGCCATGCTAAGTACATTTTTGCTTATAACTTTGGTATGGATTGGCCGATGATTACCAAAATTTCAGAGAATTTAAATTAGGGACCGTAGTATCTAAAAACGTAAAGAACTTTAAAACATGCTAAGTCGACTTAGCATACTATGGTTCGGAAGCGTCGATGTGTGTTCATTCGATTTTAAGTAAAATAGTGCACTCAACTCCCAATGTTTGTTTTCTATAGAAAAAAATAAGACCTATGAGTGTGAGACTGAGATTTATATTTCTTCTTCAATAATTACAATTGTTCACCTTAAAAAAATCCGTCCTAATATTTTGAGTTCCATTGAAAAATGCTACTAGGCTTTGAAAGTGTTAATACGAACGCACGCCCTACAATTTTTTAAAATGAATAGTTATGAGCCTCGTTAGGTGAATTTTAATTACAGCATATAAGAAGGATTCATTAAATCGATGGTGCTTGTTCACCAGTAAGGGTATCAATTTGTGTGAGAGATTCATATGTGGGGGGTTTTGTGTAAAAACAGTCGGAATACTAATATAGTCTCTGTTATGATGAAATACTGTTTATTATTGCATAAAAATTGCAACGAACAGAATGCATGACACAATGCTAAAAAATCTTAAATTAAGGACTAATTTAAAGACAGAAAAAAATTTTAAAACCGATAAAAATGAAATGAAAGGAGAGAATCACTCACACTGAAATTATTTTGAATACAAAAATTTTAAGGATTCATACTTACTTACTTACTTACTTAGCTGGCTTGTTACAGAACGGTTGTTCCATAAGCCGAGCTTAAGAAAGATTTCCAAGCGCTTCGGTCTTGTGCGCAAGTCCACCAATTTGGAAGACCACGTTCCAAGATGTTGTTTTCTACTTGGTCTTTCCATCTAATTCGTGGCCTTCCCCTTCTACGGGAACCATCAGTAGGCTCATTTTTATATGCCTTTTGAGCTGGGGCATCTTCATTCATCCGCACAACATGGCCTAGCCACCGTAGTCGCTGCAGCTCAATACGACTGACTATGTCGATGTCCGCGTATAAATTGTAGAGCTCGTGGTTCATTCGACGCCGATATTCACCGTCGACGCAGATCGGCCCGTAGATCTTTCGGAGAATTTTTCTCTCAAACACCCCAAGCGCTGCCTCATCTGCTTGCGCAAGTACCCATGCTTCTGATCCATATAATAGCACGGGTAGTATCAGCGTCTTGTAAAGTGTGAGTTTGGTCTGGCGAGAGGTGGGCTTGTTTCTAAACTGCTTACTTAGACCATAGTAGCATCTGTTGGCCATCACAATCCTTCTCCGAATTTTAAAACTGATATTATTCGTTTTATTTATGGCGGTACCAAGGTATATAAAGTCTTTAACTACCTCGAAGCTGTAGTTCTCAAGTTCCACAGTTGGTCCGAGTCTACTGGACGTCTTGCGCGTTGATACCATCAGCTTGGTCTTCTCGCCGTTTACTGCCAGACCTACCTTGGCAGACTCCTTTTCAATTTGTTCAAAGGTGGCTGTTACCGCTCGCAATGTTCGACCTATTATATCGATGTCATCGGCGTAGGCGAGTAACTGATGTTGTTTGGTGTACAGAGTGCCATTTCTGTTCACCTTTGCGTCTCGTATGACCTTTTCCAGTAGGATGTTAAAAAGATCACACGACAAACTGTCACCTTGTCTGAATCCTCGTTCGGTATTGAAGGGCTCCGATAGGTCCTTTCCTACTTTAACGGCTGACCTTGAGCCACTTAAAGTTATCCTGCATAGCCGTATTAATTTTGCAGGAATGCCGAACGCAGACATGGCTTTAAACACCTCTGAACGGATAGAGCTGTCGAATGCGGCTCTTAAGGATTCATGCTGATCTTTTTAAGTTTCACTGTTTTAGTTTCCAAAACTTATAAATCCACTTTAGATACAAAAGCATTAATAACCCATACTTTTTCTTGTGTTTCCCTTTCAATAGATTGGCCCTATCGTAACATTCTCAGTCAAGCGGTTTTGGAGCTGCAGGAACAAGGCGTATTGGCCAAAATGAAAACAAAATGGTGGAAAGAGAAACGTGGCGGTGGTGCTTGTGCGGTAAGTATCGAACTTCCTCCAGTTAATTAAGCGTTCTTCTTCTGTCTGTCTTTGTGTGTGTGTTTTCTTTCTTCTTCCATTTTTTTTTCCACAAACTTAAAACCAGGAATATTAAAAGAAAACGCGAAAAGTTTCTGTGTTTTCGAAAAAATAATGGAAAAAAACCTTGTTTTAATCTGAGTTTGGACAGAAAACTCTTCAATTTCATTTCTGTTGAATGCAAACAACAAAAACAATAACCAAATTTTTAAATCTAAGGCTGGTACATCGGAAAGCGGAGCTGTGGCCTTGGAATTTAGCAATTTGGGTGGTGTTTTCTTGGTAACAATTGTGGGCTGTGTATTTGGCATATTCGTATCCGTTTTGGAAATGTTAATTGGCGTGAAACAGCGTTGTGACGAAAATAAGGTATTGTCAAAGGCAAAGGTTGTGTTGGCTCCCTTCAAAAAAATGCGTTTCAAAAGGGACAATTTATAAATTTGAACAGTTGTTGTTTATTTTTTGTTTACATATTGCCATTTTATTACCGCTACACCTGGTATGGAAAAAATAATTAAGTATGCCCTGTTTCCATTGCCTATTAAATTATGTTACACCACATTTTGTTGTTTAAGTTTTTCTTCTATTAAATTGCGGGTCAAGCTAAACTCCCTTCTCACCTCATTACATATGTAAATATCATACCTCTCTTTTTGTCACAATAGTATGTCGCTATAGTGCTATCAAGAGCGGTTCTGTTTAGAATTTTATGTCGAAATTGTCTTTTGAAATTTAGATAGAGCTCGAAATATTTGGATAAAAATATTAAGCATATTTCGAAAAAAAAGAAATATATCGTTCAGCCGAACACTATTAAAAAAACAGTGAGCGGAGCAGTATAGTCGGACGGGGCCGACTATATGATACCCTACACAACTTCCCCGAAAATCTAACAATCTGTGGTTCTATATTCTCAGCTTGGACAAAATTTCGCGATATTTGAAACCTCATGACCGACTAGCTTACTTATTTAGCTGGCTAGTGACAGAACTTTCGTTCCATATCCCGAGCTTAAAAAAGATTTCCAGGTGCGTCGGTCTTTTGCGCAGGTTTTCCAGTTTGAAAGATCATATTCGGCAATGTTGTCTTCCACTTGATCCTTCCATCATATTCGTGGCCTTCCCCTTCTGCGTGAGCCATCAGCTGGTTCGCTTTTATATGCCTTTTGGGCTGGGACATCTTCATCCATTCTCTTAACATGACCTAGCCAACGTAGTCGCTGCAGCTCAATACGTCTAACAATGCCGATGTCCGAGAATAGCTGGTACAGCTAGCTCATGGTCCATTCGACGGCGATATTCACTGTCAACGCAGATCGACCCATATATCTTTCGGAGTCAGCGTCTTGTAGATTGTGAGTTTGGTCTGGCGGGAGGTGACCTTGCTTTTGAGTTGCTTGCTCAGACCATAGTAGCATCTGTTGGCCATTCATTCGTTTTGTTTATGGCGGTACCAAGGCATATAAAATTTTTGACCACATCGAAGCTGTATTTCTCAAGTTCTATAGTTGGTCCGAGTCTACTGGACGTTTTGCGCGTTGATATCATCAGCTTGGTCTTCTCGGCGTTTACTGCCAGACCCAATTTGGCAGAATCCTTCTCAATTTGTTCAAAGGTGGCTGTTACCGCTCTCAATGTTCGACCCATTATTTTGATGTCATCAGCGTTTACGAGTAACATGTGTTGTTTGGTGTACAGAGTGCCATTTCTGTTGACCTTTGCATCTCGTATGACCTATTCTAGCAGGATGTTGAAAAGGTCACACGACAAACTGTCACCTTGTCTGAATCCTCGTTCGTCCTTTCCGGCTTTAACTGCTGATCTCGTGCCAGTTAATGTTATCTTGCATAGTCGAATTAATTTTGCAGAAATGCCAAACGCATAGATGGCTTTGAACACCTCTGAACGGATAGGGTTGTCGAATGCGGCTTTATAGTCGACGAAATAATGGAATGTGTCGATGTTTTTCGTGGTTTTGGCGCAGGGTGAAAATCTGGTAAATGTTTGACCGACTAGAGGTTAACAAATATATACAGAAATAAATATTGATAATATTCAATACAACCCTTCTAATTACTTGTCCAGATTCCCTTCACCATGGGTTGTGTTGTGATGTTCGACTTTTAGTTGTGACCTATAGATCGACTCGAAAAATTAAGTTTTCGGTCCAATTCATCCCAATATGATTATCTGATAATCACTGAAATTTATAGGCGTTGTCATTGACCATACATGGATCCTCATGGAACATTTCTAAGCGAACAGCGGTATATTTCCGTTCTCTAGTGTGGTAATGAGTTACTAAATAATATATGAATACGTAAGAACCTGTAAATATTTACGTGTAACTCTCACAACCGAGTACATACGTCAATATAATAGGTATCATTTTAAAGGTCAACCACTCCTATTGTATATACTATCAACTTCTCGGATCTATGTCCTTTAGGGGTTAAAAAGTAAGGGTCCATTTTACCAGCTAAATACTGACCGAACTTTATCAAAACAGGCATGCTTATTCTTTGGCCCGATCCCTTTCTCCATGTAAAAATTCGGAACGGAGCAATATAGTCGGACGGGCCGACCATATGATACCCTACATGAACATAGTTGTGTAGGGTATAACAAAGGCAAAAAAGACCCACAAGGACTCGAGATACAACGAGGATACGTTTAACAAAAATATTCTTTACTGGATTTGACTAAAGAAATGCCATATCAAAAAAGAAACACAAAAGAGCCAATCGGTGTTGCCGACAGATATATACCCTCAGCCTATGGTTTATGGAGGTCTTCGGAATTACACACAGGTTTTATTATTAGCTTTATAAAAGGTATGTTTATACCCTTCAACACACTGAGGTACAGTGTATTATATCTTTGTGCATATGTTTGTAACAGCAAAATGAATAGAGATGGACCCATGGTTCCTTTTGAGAGTATGCATAGGACTACTGAGTCGATTTATGCATGTCCGTCCGTCTGTATTGTCTGTATGTCCGTCGGTAGTGTATTGAATTAAGTTTAGAATGATGTGTGTTAAGTTTCGTGAAAATCGGTTCAGATTTAGATGTATCTCCCATATTTATTTTCGTCCGATTTTATGTCAATGGAGCACCAATGCCCCCATATATAGAATTATGAATTATATAGAATTATGTATGCTAAATTTTGCGAACATCGGTTCAGAGTTAGATATAGCTCCTATATATATTTTCGACCAATTTAATGTAAGTTGTGTACAAAATTCGGCCAATTCGCACACAATTTTGTACATGTATTGAAGTTAGTATAGTCTTACTTGTGTCATATAGCTCCTAGACATTTTTTTGTCCGATTTTAAGTAAATGGCGCCCTATAGATCCATAGCTAGGCCGATTGCCAGAAAATACAGACGTTAATATAAATTAATCTCTAAATCGGTTTGGATTTAGATATAGCATAGGTTCCATATAATTTCGATCTATTCATGTTAATTATACACCAAATAATCAATTAAAATTAAATTTTAAATAGTGCAGAATACTAAATAGCCTGTGTCAAGTTTTCTTTAAATCGATTTATAAAATTTAGCATAGGTTGCAGAATGGCATGTATAGGGTTTGGTGTTAGATAAATATCACATATTTAATTTGTTCAATTCCATGTCAATGTTCCTTCAAAAAGGCGACGTCTGTTAGGATACATATGTGGAATATATCCCATGTGGTGAAGGGTATCAAATGCTCGGTACCCAGTACGACTTCACTACTTTCCTTACTGGATTTATCATAGAGGTTTCAGTTTTAATGTTGATCAAATCGGATTGCTTCAATTTAATAAAATTTAAAAGTTTATAATATACTGCAGAACTTAATCTGTGCTTTGTAAAGATACTAGATTGTGCAAAGTTTTGTTCAAATCGGACATTAAATTCCGGCCGTTCACATGATATTATAAAATTAATTTGTTCCACAATTTTGATCATTTTGTGGGGTGGAGGTACCTGAGGAAGTGTACCAATGATTCTCATCTTCGGACTTGATCTAGGCTTGGTTTCAAATTGGACATTTCATTCGCCTAATATTGGATTCATAAAGGAGTGGACCGATGGCTTCCATCTTCGGACTTGATCTAGGGTTAGAAGAGATAATAGGTAGTGCAAAGTTTGTTTCAAATCGGACAAAAGTTGACACCTTCTTAGGAAGGTAACAGAAGGAGTGGACAAAAGGGTCCCATCTTCAAACTTGGCTTGGATCTAGTCTTGGTAAAGATAACAGGTTGTGCAAAGTTTGGTTCAAATCGGACTATCCGTTCGCATGATATTATAAAATTAATTGTTGGCACAATTTTGTGGGGGAGTAAAAATGCATCACATCCTATCTCAAAACATTATATATGTCGAATTTCTTCTTTTGGGTTCAAAAACTTTATATATGGCGAATTTATCTTTCTGGGTTAGTAATATACTAGCTAAGGACTTATGTCATAAAGAATTTTAATGTTCTGAGTTCTCATTTGAGGGCAAATCTTCTTACTATAACTTATAAAATCTACATATAACGGAACACCCCAATATCTCAGACACGTTCGGTAAACGCGTCGAGAATTTCGGCCAAAGTTGTTGGCTCAGGATTCTTGTTAAAGCATCAATTGTTTTGCCTCGTTGAGTAGTATAAAAGCGAGAGCTCTCACGACGGAGGTTCAAAATATAATCTGACTGACGGAATATTTATATTTACATTTCCTACTCACTTGAATAGTACCACGTTTTTGGGAATATGCTTTTCGTCTGTAACTTTGCAAAAATTGTCCTTTGCAACCTTGAAGAATTAAGCTGATATATCCCAAACTATAATTGACTTACATCTTATAAGAAAATATGTTATAATATGACCAACAGTTTTCACAGATATCCAGTACGCAGCGAATCCGAACGAAATTAAATTTAGATGAGCCTCTACACTTTTATTTATTTATTTTATTAAATATATATGTACATTCATTGTCAAACCTTTTGTCAAAAAGTTAATCCCGTAATGTCAACCTTGACTTTCTGACGCAACAGACTCAAAGGCCGCTTTTTAACTTTATATGTATGTATGTGGTGTAGGTTGTTATGAAATTTTTAATTGCCACATCCTTCGCAATTTATGGGTTGTATTAAAAAAGGACCTTGACAGTTATTGGCATTTTTCAGTTGCCTCCCCATTTCCCACATGCGTTCCAATGTCCTTTCTAATTTTAAGTATTCTCTGTACTGAGATATTTTTAAAATTTATTTATATTGCCTTATAAATGCTTACCCGCTAAAATGATGAGCATTACAAACCTTCAACATTGTGGCATAAAATGTCAAACACACACATTTATATATAATCCTCCTGAAAT